TAGCCTTGAGGTGAAGATTTGAGGGACAGCACCCAGGCCCGGAGTTCAGGCCCCATGACCAGACCCAAAAAGAAAAAAATCAATGAAACAAAAAGCTGGGAATATTTTGGAAAACAAATTAATAAAATTGGCAGACTAATTGTGAGATTAATGATAAAAAGAAGAGAGGAAATTTATATAAACAAGATCAGAGACACCACAGGTAATATTATGACAAACACCCAAGAAATCCAAATAATTATAAAGGACTACACTCAAAATCTACACTCACTAAAGAAGGAAAACCAAGCAGAATTTCTAGAAACATACTAACTGCCTAAACTGAACCAACTAAACAACTAAACAAACAAATAGCATACAAAGAGATTGATGAAGTAATCAGAAGTCTTCCAACAAGGAAAAGCCGAGGCCCAATGGACTAACCACTGCATTCTGTGAGACTTTTAAAGGTGAACTAATATCAATACTCCCCAAGCTTTTCCGGGAAATAGATGTAGAGGGAGTAATCCCAAACTAATTCTATGAAGGCAATATCATACTCATCCCAAAATAAGGTAAGGCTCTGAAAAAAAAAAAAAAAAAAGAGACAACAATTGACTAATTTCTCTGATGAGCACTAATGCAGATCTCCTCAATAAAATATTAGCCAAAAAAAATCTAGAAACTGCTAAAAAACATCTTACATTATGACTAAGTAGCCTTCATCTCAAAGATGAAGGCTGATTTTGTTAGTATTATCCCCATATTTTTTCCTCAGCACCACACATACCTAAGCACCGCCCTGCTCTGGAGTTCTGGCCAAACAGCTGGCCACTCCCTCTCTCTTTCCAGATTCACCTGAGCATGCACCTACCTCACTTCCTGCCCCCAGACACTCCAGCTACCTGGAGTGGAACTGATGCCTTGTGCTTCCTCTCCTTGGAAATATGCCCCCTCTAATAACCTTATAATAATCTTTCTCCTGTGTCTGCTTGCCTCCAGCCTCCACATCCTCCCCTGGGATGGATCTGAAGGATTCCTTTCAGATTTAACATAGCTAAATCAATATATGTAATTCATCACATCAATAGAGCCATGGTCAAGAATCGCATGATCATCTCAATAGCTCAAAGGAACAGATTAGAAGATGCAGCCATAAAACCACATATTTATAGTCATATTCAACAAAGGAGCCAAAGGCAAACAGTTAAAAAAAATAGCCTCTTATTGGTGTTGGGAAAACATGACAGTCATATGCAGAAAACTAAAAATTTATCCCTAATTGTCACCACACACTAACATCAATTCAAAGTGGATTACGTCAGACCCAAAACTCTAAAGTACTGTAAAATGACATGAAAACTCATAGGTACAGACAGGCAGGAACTTCCTGAATAGAGTCCCAGGGGCACAATGGATAGGAGAGTGACTCAACAAGTGGGACTACATTGAAAAAAAGGTTTCTGACCAGCTAAGGACATAGCTAATAATCTAGAAAGACAGCCAACCAATTGGGAAAACATCATTACCAGCAATATATCAAAGGCCTACTACTCAACAAATACATTTTGCTCAAGAAATAACCCCTCCCAAACCTAATAAACAAATCACTAAATGGGCAATGGAGTTAAGGAGAGACGTTTCAGAAGGGGTGAGTGTGGCCAAAAAAATAAAAACAAAAAACAAACAACAAAAAAAACACATAACGAAATATTCATCATCCCTGGCCAAAAAGGAAATACAAATCAAAAGAACCCTGAGATATCATCTTACCCCAGTTAGACTGGCGAATACTTTGAACTCTGACCACAACAAATGCTGGCAGGGAGATAGAGAAGGAACCCTACTTCACTGTTGATGGGAATGTAAATTAATACAACCACTGTGGAAAGCAGTCAGTAGGTTCCCCAAAATCTCAACACAGACCTTCTGTATGACCCAGCCACACTATTCCTAGGCATCTACCCTAAGCATCATGAACCCCAATATGATAAATACTCCTGTACACCCATGTTCATTGCCACACTATTCAAAAGAGCCAGGATACGGAAACAACGCAGATGCCCCAAAATAGATGAATGGATGCAAAAAAAATGTGGTAGCTCTATGCAATGGAATTTTACACAGCCTCATCCATCAGGAATGGCGTGGAACTAGAACAAATCATATTAAGTGAAGAAAGCCAAGATCAGAGAGAGAAATGCCACATATTCTCTGTGATATATGAAAGATAGACTTAAAACAGAATGGGGGGCTGGGAAGGTGTCTCAGTGGTAGAGCGCTTGCTTTGCATGTATGAGGCCCTGGGTTCGATTCCTCAGCACCACATAAGCAAAAAGAAAAAAGCTGGAATTGGAGCTGTGGCTAAAATGGTAGAGTGCTAGCCTTGAGCTGAAGAGCTGAGGGACAGTGCCCAGGTCCAGAGTTCAGGCCCCACAACCGTACCCCCCCAAAAAAACAAACAAAAGCAGAATGGGATATGACAAATGATACAGGATTCTAGACACTCAAATATAGGGAGCCTAAAAGAGGATAGTCTTAGGAGAAAATCACGATATTGTAAGTTTCTTAATATATTTATACGTGTGTGTGTGTGTGTGTGTGTGTGTGTGTGTGACCATGGCATTACTGTTCAACTTTCCATTAAAGTTCATCTAGTGTGTTGAGTTACTTGTCTGTTCTTTCTTTATTCTGACTCCCTCATAACTCAGTTTCCTAAAAATAACTGTTGAAAATGGGTCTGGTCAAACAAATGCCTGGTTGCAATGCATAAAATATTCTAATTACCCTTTAAATACAGGTAGGGCAAGAACTCATATTGTCCCCCTTGTCTCCATGATGGACCACAGATCCTGTCAGTACAGTGTGCCTGAAACTCTGCTTCCAAGGCAAGATGTCTTAGGGTAACAAGTCCTGAAGCACAGTCTCACTGTTGTCTCCCATGATCAATTAAAGCTACATCAGTTGGTTAAGTTCCTGTCCCATAATGTTAACTTCACCCCATGCCTTGCTAGGCAGGGTAGGAGAAGTCGAGTCCCTGGGAAATATATCTGGGTAGAGTGAAAGCCAGGCATTTGAGGAGATGTGAAAGTTCCACCTCTCAGAATTGCTACAGCTGATATCCAGTAGTATTGTGGGGCACATTTTCTTCAGGCTTTTCTGAACAAATGGAGCTGAACCTGTGTTAGGAAAAAGAAAATACCGACAGGCCCAACTTGGTCTTCAACATAGGAGGGGCAGACAAACCGTCCAGCAGGATAGAATATTGTGCAAGTTGGTGGAGTAGGGTTCAGGTTTATCTTGGTCTTAACAAGCAAACAGAAAATACGAAGCATAATATGGTCTCTTGGGGGCCCAGAGGGGCCAAGGGCGTGTGCTCTTGGTCAGGCTCAGAATAGAACGCTCTGTGTCCGGCAGGGAACTTTTCTGATAAGACCAGGTTGGAATGACTCACAGTCAAGCACGAGAGCACTCACCTGGTGTTTTGCTTGACCTGGGAGAAAAACGCGTCTTCAATCCTTTCACCCTAGTATTTCAAAAAGTAGGAACTCTTCAACTGGAACTCCAGGTTTACATAGATGTTTTCAGGATTCAAGGAGGAGTTCCTGGTGACATTAAGGCCAAGGACATTTGAATTCATTTAGCAAGATGGCATGGGAAAATTGGACCACTCCTGATATTATTCTAGCAGGAAAAGGGGGGAAGAGCATGTGTTCTAAAAAGCTTGTAATTTCACCTCGAAAAATACTACGTTGTATAGGACCACAAATTAAAAGTTCAGAAGTGGCTTTCTTGCTCTGCAAGAGTGCAGGTATCAGTTCTAAAATCTCTCATTCTTGGGATTGGAAAATATTTTTAATTGGGTGTTGTGAATTAAATCACATGGAGACTAGTATTAAAATAGTTAAAAGAAAAAAATAGTAAAAAAAAAAAAGAGAGAGAGAGAAGAGAATTGTCAGAGAACCTTGCTAAAAATTTCCTGCTTTGGTCTGGTGGTTTGGCTCCTGTTGAGTAAAAGAGGAACTGCTTTGGTCTTAAATAGGTTTCTTTACATGATGGGATTAAGACACACCCTAGACTCTTCCGGAAATAGCAGAGGGTGTGGGTATATTTTGAGATTTCTTGTGTACCCTTCACCACATTTCAAAGTCACCTTATGTAAATATATTTTACCCTATTTAAACTAGCCAATATTGAGCAAATTGTGAACCTGAGCTTGGCCAATCTGAGCAGAGGGGCAGGGTCTGCGGCAGTCAGGATAAATAGGGGAGCAGCCTGCCTGTTCTATGTGTTTGCTTGACGATTTTTGGTTGATGGTACACCTAGAAATATTTTCTGTCTTGCTGAGACAATTCTTTATTCTCTTTCTTTCTTTTCTTTCTTTTTCTTTTTTCTTTCTTTCTTCTGTCCTTTATTTCTTTCTTTTTCTTCCTTTCTTTTTCTTTTTCTTTTCTTACCATTATTTTATTTTATTATAGAGGTGATGCACAGAAAGGTTATAGTAACAAACAAAAGGTACCAAGTATATTTCTTTTCCTAAGGTGTTATCCCCTCCCTTTCTCCTGCTTTCGGTTCTCGTGACTGCCCCCTCCCATGTTGTAAAGCTCATTTCTAACACAGTGTCTAGTGAGTATCACTGTTGCATTGCTTCCCCCTTGGTTGATCTATGATTCCACTTCCCTTTTCCAAATCAGATAAACTTTGATACTCCAATGGTTGTTCGGAGCATAGTTATAACAAGGACAAACACAACTTGTACCAGAAATTCACTGAAAGCAACAGCAAAAGGGTGGGGCCTTGTTTTTAATCTCAATTCCAATTGATATGGAAATGAATTGCACACCCTTCTCTACACACCCTTCTCTAAGCCCTCCCACCCCAAGTGTAAAAAAATGGAACTAGGGAATCAAGCTATTCCGCACATCCCACCGCCTTGCCATGGACAGCACTTGGAGAGAGCTTGCCAGTGGTGAGGACCAGAGCAGGAGAATCAGCTCTCTCCATCCTCTTTGTTTGGAAAGATGGAGTGGGACATTGCCCAAGCCTTCCAGGAAGAGTTGAGATGCCCCATCTGCATGGAAACCTTTATCGACCCAGTCACCATCCACTGTGGGCACAGTTTGTGTCGACCGTGTCTGCGCCTCCTCTGGGAAGAAGCTGAGACTCCAGCCAGGTGCCCTGTGTGCAGGCAACCCTCTCAGCAAGAAGAGCTCAAAACCAACATTGCCCTACAGAGTCTGGTGTCCATCAGCCGACAAATCAGCCTCCGACAATTCCTGAGCTCCGAGGAGCATACATGCTGCACACACAAGGAGACCAAGCAGATGTTTTGTGAAGTGGACAAGAGCCTGCTGTGTCCTCACTGCTCCCCATCTCGGGAACATGAGGCTCACAGACACCAACCTGTCGACTGTATTGCTGCAGACAAACGAAAGATTATTTTAAAGGAAATGGACACTATATGGGAGAAGATACAAAAAAACCAGAGCAATATATACGAGAAGAGGAACATCATCAACCAGTGGGTTTGGTACATGAATCTACACAGGGAGATGACCAAAGATTTTTATTCAGCACTGCATCTGGGTCTCCGGGAGGAGGAAATACGACTTTCGGAGATACTCAAAGAGAAAGGAAGAGTCATCTTTCTGCAACTCAGGACAATGGAAACCCAAATGCTTCAGAAAAGCAGTGACCTCAGAAACATATATCAGGAGCTGATGAAAACCTACCAAAAGCTAGACCTGGAACTCCTGCGGCATTTAGAAGACACCCTGGAAAGATGCGAGAGTGCCTTGCTCTTCATGCCCCAGCTGAAGAAGCCAGAGCTCAGCCCTCCTCCCATTCCTAGATTGATGGATAACCTCAACCATTATCGAGTGGAGATCACCTATTGTCATTTGATTCAGAATCATGAAGAATCCAACTATGTTGCTCTTTCAGGAATCCAAGAGTTCAGCTCTGGGAAACATTACTGGGAGCTCAGTGTCCAAGGCTTCTCCACCTGGGCTGTGGGCGTCTTCAGAAATTCAGCAATAGGGAGCAACCTTATTCTGAATGAATCTGAGGACATTTTTCTTCTTTTCTCTGGCAAGGGGAACATTCATTATAGTATCTTTACCACCGCTCCATTGCTTCCTTACTTTATAGAGAGACCAGTGGGCCGCATTGGTGTGTTTCTTGATCTCGAAAATGGAAATGTGAGTTTTGTGAATGCTACTAAGAATTCCTTTATCTGGAGATACCCAACTAACTCCTTCCAGTATCCTGTCAAGCCTTGTTTTTTCTCCTGGTAACCCATAATCATAAGTAAAGAGCTTTTATTTCCTTTTTTTCTTTCTTTCTTTTTTTTTTCTTGGTTGTGGAGATTGAATTCTGGGCCTGGGCACTATCCCTGAGCTCTTCCGCTCAAAGTGAGTGCTCTACCGCTTGAGGCACAGAGTCATTTCTGGTTTTCTAGTGGTTTATTGGAGATCAGGGCCTCTCGGACTTTCCTGACAGGGCTGGCTTTGAACTGTGAGTCTCAGATCTCAGCATTCTGAGTAGCTAGGATTACAGACATGAGCCACCTGTGACAAGCTAGTAAAGAGACTTCCTATGTGTTGGGAACTCTCTATACCAGAGAACCCTTCTCAACTGATGCAAATAACTTATGCTGTTCTTATTTGTCTTTGTAATGTAATTACATTTTTGTTATGAAATATAGAGTTAAAATAAAATGCAAGATGTAAAAATGTTAGTGCATGCATGTTTAATTTTGATTCTGACATATGATAAACACTATAATAAACAGTGGATGGCACAATGAAACTTGGCTTATAAGTAGCTTATTTCTTAATTGTTTCATCTTCATCTCTAACACCAGTAGCTAGGAGTTTCCATATTCCCTCTGCATTTCCACAAATGATATTACTTCCCTGAAGAACAAAAGCAGAGTTGGCATGACATCTTTCTGCAGACCATAGAGAATATCTGGGCCATAAGACACTAGGCATTACCTATGTCTTCATGGTGCCTCAAGAAAGAAGAAGTTCTGATGTTTCCCAAGCAAAGAGATTAGTTAAAGGAAGAGCCATCTTATTGCTTTAAAGATAGCATCCATCTAAGCTACTGTGCCCACAAAACTCAGATTAATGGCATGAGGCAGATATTCAGGAGGGAATGAAAAAGATAACTGGCTTATTGATTTTTGCAAGATTAAATCGAACACAGTACTAGAAATGAATCATACTAAATTTAGCTTGCTTACCTACAAAGCAACTCTTCACATCCAATCGTGTGTCACTGTGCTCAGTTTAACAAAGGCAAAACCCCCCTCAGTGCCAGGAATATTTAATTTCCTCCTTCGAGCCTATTAGGGTTCACTTTTTTTTTTATAGGCAAGCCAGATTCCTGTAGTGAGATCATTTTTTAAAGTTTTCCTTTTGGTTATGGATAGAGGCTGTTTGGAGGGGTTGTGAGTTAAAGAAATGGAGAGAGTGGGCTTAATTGGGATACATTACATGTGTGTATGAGAGTATCGTTTCCCTTTCCCATCCCTTCCCATACTCCCCCCACCTCCACACACCCTATCCCCCCCCAAAGTTGTAAATTCGTTTTTCAACATAACGACTTGTACATCTCATTGTTGCAATGGGTCTACCTGTATCCTTATTTAAATGATTTGTTTTTTCCCTTCCCAAAATATTCATTTTTTAGAGTGGAGTAACTCCATAATATTTCTTCTGGGTAGTTTGTCTTCCTCATTGGTTATCTTAAAATTATAGAATTATTTACTTTTACATCTTAGAGAAAATTGAATTTAGCTTCTTATATATTAGATTCAAAATGAAGGTGACTTAAGGAAAAATGTTTTGTATTACTATAGGCCGCAAACAGTGTTAAGAAATTTGCTCACATTGTCAAATATGTTCATCACAAAATTATTTAGAGGATTTTTGTCATCATTGATTTGTTTCACTTTGGCAGAAGTGGGTTATAAACTCAGGGTCTTCCACTTGCTAAGCAAGCATTCCATCACTTGAGCTACCCTGCCTGACCACCCTTGCTGTTTCTTTTTTTCTCTGTTTTTTTTTGTAAAGCTAGTGCTCAAATCCAGGGCCTCAGACATGCTAAGCAAGCACCATACCATTGAGATGTACCCCAGGCTCAAGCAAAGCAATCTTATCACATCCATACAGAAAGAAATCTGGTATTTTAGTACACCATGATGTCAGAATGAAGCAAGATCACAATAATATTAACAGGAGGATAAATCACTCAATGGTGATGTATCTATCTATCTATCTATCTATCTATCTATCTATCTATCTATCTTCCTGACCCTGGGGTTGAACTCAGGGGCTGGGTGCTGTCACAGCGCATCTTTGTGCTCAAAGCTAGCACGTGACGCACAGTTCCATTTCTGGCTTTTACTGAGTTGTTTATTGGAGAATAGAGTCTCACAGACTTTTCCACCCCACTGTCTTTGAAATGAGATCCTCAGATATCAGCCTCATGAATAGCTGCAGGTGTGAGTCACCAGTGCCCTGCTTGGTGATTATATCTTTGTCAAGATGCGAATATGGATCAATTTAACCCCCAAAATTTATAAAACTGTTTTTATACAAACATTGGAGATATTTTCATTTTTCTATCAGATCATTTTGATTAAAAATATTCCTACACTAACCTGTAATTAAAAATTGTGTACATATTATTCTTGAGTCTCTTACTTAAATCTATAACTTTAGAAGGAATGACTCCAATCACTTGATCTTCTATGCTTTTCTGTTCATGCTTTTCTGTAGACAAGTACATGTTAAGACCAATTTTGTTCTCCAATTTACATATTATTCTTATAACCTTGAAAAATCAGTAGATAGCTCACTTTGTGCAAATTACATGCTTTTCTGAAATCTTTACCACTCATACCTCCATAAAGTAGAAGCTATATTGAAAACTAATGCAAGCCAAATGGTTTAGGCATTAACAAAGTTTCAGTCAACCAAGAAATCAGACAAGGATATAGCAACATAGTAAGTCTGAAATTTATTTTAAATAAATATGGTAGATATTCTTTTCCTACAGGTATGAAAATGAAACAATGAAGCTTATTGAGGTTTGTTTGTAAAGCTGGGAGAATGGATGAAGGAAAAAAAATGGAAAGGAGAAAGCTAAACAAGGTACACTCTATGCACATATGGACATATCAAAATGAATGCCCATGCATAATGAGCCAATAGATTACATACAATATAATTAATAATGTACTATGGGCTAATAGATGCTCAAAATGTGAAAATTTTTATTGTATTTTTAGGTTGAAAATAATATAAGGTACAAGTGGAATTATCACTTAATTCTACATGATAACAGCCCAATTTTCCATTTACATATCATAATTTATTTTTCAGCTTGAGAGTAAATAAAACAATTAAATTAGTTAACCATGGGATCAGGCGACAAATTAACCAGGGATTAAATACTGGCTTTACCAGATAGCAACTGGGAGATTTCAGGTTCTCTGAGGCTACAATCTTCCATGAGGATCTACTTTGCAGCTTGACAAGCTGTTGAAAATGTTAAATTACATAATAATTACTTAGTACGGACACAATGAACACATTCTGTATTCATGAAGTAAATGTTAGTTTTAGTGGTACTAGAGTGAAATTTACTTAAGAGACCTATAAGAAATTGGTACAAACGAAAGCATTGTTTACACTTTTATCAAAGATGAGTCAATAAAGAGAAATCTGGCAACACGAATGTTCAACTTTCATGCTGTTTTCTGTTTCAGTCTACATTTTTATTGTGGTGTTCTCATTCCTCTCACAAAATTTCTGGTGTTTTTGACTAAGAGTGTTACCGTTATACGTAATCGTTTCTACAAATATTAAATGTTGCCTCTTAAGCCATCATATTGTTGATGTTAATGTGGCCTTAATCACCTTCTTAAAACAGCTGCCTGAATCCTTCTGCCTTATATCTGAGTGATTGGACCATTAGTGGTAAAGAAGAAAGATGAGAGTTGATGCCAGTTTGGCTCTTGGTAGATCGTAGATTTTTTTGTTCCATGGGAAATCTAGAACAGAACTACCTGAAGTAAATAACAAAATATTTGCAAATTCTAGGGTATATTTAGGGGCTTATTAACTCGTTTTTAAAAATAGTTATTATGTGCATGGTTTTATTCTTAGAATTTCAGTTACTTAAGAATGGAAGCCTTAAGTGAACTCAGCAAATAATTTGAGGAAAAAAACTTTTAATGATAGAAATTAAATTGGACAATCCTACATGAGACTAAAATGGATGGTTACATATTCAGAAAAAATGTTCAAGAAAGGGACTCCCAGAAGAAGTGCTAGTTAAGTTGGGAAATGAAGGGAGATAAGCCAACCTATGTTGGAGAGAAAATCCAAATTGAGGATAACAGCAAAGGCAAAAAAAAATCTCTGTCTTCGCAAAAGCCTTGCTCTGGAGGTATGTGGCAAAAAAGGGCTTGCCATTAAAGGAAGAAGAGTTAACAAGGAAGAAAAATAGAACATAATGCTCCTCAGAAAGCCACTGGATAATGTTAAAGTAGAGAAAATTGTATTATCTAAATACTTGAGTCTTTTAAATAACACTAGCCGTCCTGTGGGGACATGACAGCTAGTGGTCAGAGTGCTGATAGGGGGCAAAAAGGTGGTTTTCATTTTCCTAGGGGTTCATACATTTTTGTATAAAAGTATGTTCACTTTTGCCAACAAAACCACACAGTAAATTCAAAACTAAGTAGATCAATGAATAGCTTCTCAATGTTTCTTCTAAATGCTCCTCCAGCTAGGGTGGAAGTAATAAGGAAGTTAAGTTGTTCTCCTGCATACCTAAAAGGCAGTAAAAGAAATGCACTTTCAGTGCAATAGTAATGGCAAAGCAATGTAAGTCCTGAGCCACATCATAGATGGGGGTACAGACTTCTGAATGTATTGATGTGTGAAGACTTGTTCATTTTGTGACATTATGTAGTCACTTCTGGACAGAATTTTAGTAAAATCCTTCTCTCCTCCCCTATCACATATCCTATTCTTGCTGCTCTTGGGGAGTTTTTAAAATCTGTTTTTGTTTTCTGCATGTGAAATTTCGCTATTTTAGGAAATCTAAATTCTTCCCCTGAATTACAGTCCCTTCTGCAGTTTTCAACTTTAATTGCTGACACACAAAGTAGATTTTTTTTAACACATAGCCTGGTCACTGGGACACCAGGTGTGTGTGACACCAAAATTATTGACTTAACCTCAGCAGATTCCTTCAGTGCTGTATTCATGAGGTG